TTTGTTCCAGATACTGAGATAAATACAAATATGCATTTATGCTCAGTTTTGTTGAATGAATTCAACTATCTCCCATGGTCTAGAGCAGTGTTTCTTGCTCTCAATGGAAGAGGAAAGCTAGGGTTCATCAATGGAGGAGTTGAAGCACCCAAGCCTTCTACCCAATCATATGAAGCATGGTTGTGCAAGGACCAACAAGTCATGTCAATGCTTCTCAACTCCATGAAGAAACATGTCGTTAAAATCTTCAGCTATTCTGAGTCTTCACACGATTTGTGGAAATCTGTGAAAGACATGTACAAGAATCAAAATAATTATGCACGAGTGTTTCAGCTAAAAAGGGACATTGTCAGTCTTCAACAAGATGGAAAAACTTTTGTGCAGCACCTGGGAAGTCTCAAGACGATGTGGAATGAGTTAGATGTTTATCTACCTCACACCATTGATGTTGCAGTTCTTCTAAAAAGAGTTGAAGAAGACAAGATATATCAACTGCTTACGAGCTTGAACTCAGACTATGAGGATCTCAAGAGTCACATCCTGATGAATATCGAACTTCTTTCCTTCAAAACGGTTTGTGCCACGGTTCAACGTGAGGAAGCTTGAAAAAGGGTGATGAATTGGAGAAGAATTCCAAGATTTTTTAGTCAATAGTTTATGTTGCCAAACATAAACCCTCAGACAACAGGCCTTACAAGGGTAAAAATCCACACATAAAGTGTAGTTACTGTGACGTTGTAGGTCACGCGGAGGTAAGGTACTAGATTTTGCACCCCGAACTGAAACCTAAGTTCAACAAGGATCACATAATGATTCCTTTAAGGCAATTCTATACTAGCTCATACAAACCTCAGCATGCAACAAATCACAGTTATACCTCATTTCCTGAGAGCATTCAGGACTTCAGTTCAAATCCTGTCTCTCTCATAAATGACTTTGCAATATACATGTAAACCATGGGACATAGAGAAGCTGCAGAAAGCTCAAGGGGTACAACTGAAAATCCCACTGCACTACTGGGACAGTTCGCAGGTTTCCTTGCTGAAAATGAGAATATACTAAAAAGCAAAGCTCCAGGTATTTTTAGTGCATTCTCAACTGCTCTTTACACTAGTATTGAATGGATTATTGACTCAGGAACCACTGACCATATGACAAACAAAGCTTCAAACTTACACAGTTTTCAAACTTTGTCAAAACCCTCTCATGTGTCAGTTGCTAATGGAAAAAAGGTCATGGTTTTGGGCGTAGGAAAAGTAAAGTTTCTTTCAAACAACCTTGAGTCTACTACATTGTTTGTTCCTACCTTTCCTTTTCAACTTCTGTCAATATGAAAGATCACTAGAACCCTAAATTGTCTTGTCACTTTCTCACCAAGCAGTGTTATGTTTCAAGATTCTCTCACCAAAAAGACGATTAGTTAAGGGTTCTTCCTGAATGGTCTTTACTATATATGCAAGGAACCTCATTTAGTCAAAGCTTTCCAAGTTGATTCAATTTCTTCCAAGGACCAACAAATCTAGCATCAAAGATTAACCCATCTATCAAAGATTGTTTGAACTTGTACACTCTGATGTTTTGGGCTAGCAAACCTTTTGAACTTGTACACTACGATGTTTAGGATCGAACTATTGAATCATTTGATGGATATAAATATTTTGTTATCTTTGTGGATGACTTTTCTAGAACAACATGGCTATATATGTTAAAATCTAAAAAGGATGTCTTCACTATGTTCAAAGACTTTCATCAACTTGTCATAACTCAATTTCAGTCAACCATTCAGAACCTAAGAACCGACAATGGCACTGAGTTCTTATCCAACAATATGAGTCAATATTTGAGCTCTCATGGTATTGTTCACCAGACAAGTTGTGTGGGAACCCCACAACAAAATAGGATCTCTGAAAGAAAGAACAGGGATTTACTTGAGAAGACTTGTGCATTAATGTTGCATATGAACATACCAAAGAAATTTTGGTCACAAGCCATTCTCACTACAACCTATTTAATCAACAAATTGCCTAGTCGTGTTTTAGAGTTTAAGTCTCCTTATGAAACTCTTAAAAGAAGACATATAACTTTATCACATTTGAGAGTCTTTGGCTGCACGTGCTTTGTTCATGTTCAAGCATTGCACGGTGACAAACTGGATGCTAAGGCTGCAAAGTGTGTTTTCATGGGATATTCATCCTCCCAAAATGGTTACAAATGTTTTCATCATATTACTAACAAGATGCTTGTATCTAGAGATGTAAGATTTGAGGAAACAGTTCCCTATTTCTCCAAGGAGTCTGCTCACTCCCGAGAGGGGGAGTTAATGTGTGATTTATTTCCCTTGCCTGCGTGCATTGATCACTCAGTGCACTTGGATCCAGAAGCCACTAGCAATCATGAACAAGCAGAGATTGTGAGTGAAACTACTCATGTGTCTTCTCAACCAAGAAACCTGGAAGATGGTACTGAGTCTACTCAAGATGAAAGTCACAAAGAGGCTCCCACTTTACCTCCTACAAGGCGTAATCCTGTGCGTGCTCAACAACCTCTAGCAAGACTTCGAGACTATGTCACCTTCGCTTCCAAACACCCGATCACTAAGGTGCTGAGTTATAATCGTGTTCACCCCAATCATGCCACATTCCTGGCTGAAATCTCTCATCACATTGAACCACAAACCTTTCAAGAGGCTCAACTAATTCCTGAGTGGAGAAATGCGATGAAGGATGAACTTCATGCCTTGGAAAACAATCAAACATGGAGCATTGTGAAGTTACCCCCAGGAAAGAAGGTTGTTTGGAGTGGATGGATCTATAAAACAAAGTTTAAGGCTGATAGATCAATTAAACGTGACAATGCCAAATTGGTTGCACGTGGTTTCACTTAAACGTTTGGGGTAGACTACAAGGAGACATTTGCTCCAGTAGCCAAAATGAACTTCGTTAAGGTTCTTCTTTCAGTGGCTATGAATTGTGGTTAGCCATTGTATCAAATGGATGTAAAAAATATGTCCCTTCATGGGGATTTACAAGAGGAAGTATATATGCAACTTCCACCAAGTTCTTCTCAAGGTAAAAATGATATGGTGTGTCGATTGCACAAGGCAATCTATGGTTTGAAACAATCTTCACATGTATGGTATGCCAAGTTGAGTTCAGTGTTGGAAGCTACTGGTTTTGTTTGAAGTAATGCGGACTCATCCTTGTTCACTCGTAAAGGATCAGCTAGTATATTGGTAGTTCTCATCTATGTGGACAATCTCATCATCATAGGTGAAAATGAAGTTGAAATTGAAGCTCTCAAGAAATCTCTCAATCACACATTTGCCATAAAGGACCTGGGGAGACTAAAATACTTCCTTGGCATTGAAATGGCAACATCTCAAAAGGGTTTGTTTTTAAATCAGCGCAAGTATGTTGTGGATCTTCTCACTGAGGTTGAATTACTTGATTGCAAGCCTGCTATCACTCCCCTTGATAGTAAGCTAAAGCTTGAGATGGATGGAGAACCTCTCACCGATATGAGTCACTACCAAAGGTTAGTTGGAAAGCTTATTTACCTTACCATAATCAAACCGGACATCACCTATGTTATGAGCCTGGTTAGCCAATTCATGCATGCACCATTTGTGAAACATCTTCTCATTGTCAAAAGAATTCTACGCTACCTCAAAGGCTTTATTGGTAGAGGTATTCTTATGAAGAACAACCAATCCACTCAAATCAGTGGCTACACTGATGCAGATTGGGCCGGAAATGCAATTGATAGGAAGTCTACCACTGGCTATTGTACATTTGTTGGAGGAAACATCGTCACATGGAAAAGCAAAAAACAACAGGTTATTGCACGTTCTAGTGCGGAGGCTGAATATCGTGCAATGGCATCGACAACATGTGAGTTAATTTGGCTCAAGGGGTTACTTTTAGACTTGGGATTCTCTAGTTCTACTCCAATGCCACTCATGTGTGACAATCAAGCAGCCATGCATATCGCTGCTAACCCCGTGTTCTATGAAAGGACCAAACATATTGAGGTGGACTGTCACTACATTAAGGCACAAGTTCAATCCCAAGTTATTCAAACCATCTATACTCGCAGTCATGATCAACTGGCAGATGTATTCACAAAAGCACTTCCCTCAGTTCCTTTTCAACGTCTCCTTGACAAGTTTGGCTCGATCAATCTCCTCGATCCAGCTTGAGGGGGAGTATTAGACGATATGGGGTGACTGATGTTGCATATGGATATTAGACGATATTGGGTAACTAATGCTGTCAGATTTTATGTTCCCTCTTTCCATAGGATTCTCTATCAAGTCTAATCCCTTAATTTCAGGAAGATTGACATCTAGATGACTTGTTGATAGTTGTGTGCTAGCTACTTGCTGCACTTCCTTAATTTAAGGAGTGACAGCTTTAGGGTTTACCGGGTTAGTAGGATTTGCCAAGGTAGGGTTGCTTGTAACCTTCTACCTCATTATATATCCCCCTTGTACATTCAATCAATCTATGAAAAATACATTCAAACAAACTTAAAATTTCCATAGTGATCATCAGAAATTGTTCTCAAAATCACTGAAATAAAATGCGTACATTAGTTACTGCTTTCAACTCCAACACACTGAAGCAAAGAGATGGAGCATCTTACCATTTTGGTCATTGAAGTTAAGACTGTTCATGTCGATAACCTTAATTTTCCGATGATTCGATTACAAAGAATTCAACCGGTTTTCAGTTGCACAATAAATTTCCCGCTTTTATTAAGGAAAAATTAAAGGCGTTATTCCTAACTTGAAACCTTTTAAAGATTGAACTGTTATGCTTTGCTTCAAAAGGGTTGCCTTTGTTTCATTTAAGAGGTATCCATCACCTGCCTGCGGGTGCTTCCAAACACATATACTGCAATTTTAGTTCTTATTAAAAGGAACAATGTCTACGGTTTAGCATTGTCAAACAAGTAAAGATTAGACTAGCCAAACAATGTTTTTGGTTAAACACAAGCGATGCTAATTGAAATTTATTGGTCAAGACTCGACATATTTCTCACACTACAAATTTTTGAAGAAAATAGGTCCTGTCAAAATGCACTTCAGTCACAAGTCATTTGGTGGGAAAGGACTGTAGCTCTAGGGTCTATAGAACGCCACTTTTAGTACAAATCATATCATGGACGCAGATCTTCATTCGTATTCATAAGTCAATTAACATCATTTTAACAATATCTGAAACCTAACACAAGCTGACTATAGTGCTTCCGCAATCACATGGACAGTGACCTTTGCCTCCACTATGCAAGTATCCTTCACGAGAAACCCCTTGCTTGCCTGATTGAAAGTGTCCAATTTAAGGAATGTAGACCAGCCCCAATCCGGAATAAAGGCACTAAACCAGTGACCATCTACACAGAAGAAATAAAATCTCATGTTATACGGCATTATATACAATTAAACACTCAGCTTACCAGGCCGACCTTTTACCTTCTTTAAACTCATGCATGCATTCTTGACCATTGATAGACACTCCATTTCCTGTTCTTCTTTCTTTACAAACAAAGACGTCCGCTCCCCAAACACACAGTGATCATCTACAAAGGTTGCTTATTTATTAGTCTTAACTGACCTCACACAACGAGGTGAAATGTTAAAAAATGTGCATGCCAATGGCTCAATATGTTTAACGCATAACATACTTAAAAGGAAGAAAAGCGGCCTTCCAATTCGCAAAAGTCACAAACTTCAGCCAAAATTAATTATAAACATCAAAATACCCTTCAATCACAAGTCATTTGGAGAACAAGGATTTTAGCACTAAGTTACACCCACATATAGACGGTGCTTTTACAACATCATGGACCGTGACAAGGCCTTTAGTCCTTTCAATCGTAACATCTTTTTAGCAACAGCCAAAACGTACGACATGCCGACTACAGTGCAGTTACAATTCCATGGACAGTGACCTCTGCCTCCACTATGCAAGTATCCTTCACCCAAAAACCATTGCCTGCCTGATTAAAATCGGCCAGTGAAATGAACTGACGGCAGCCCAAACTCGACTTTGAGTTACTGAACCAGTGGTTAACTACACATAATACACCCTGATGTTATGAAGGATATTCATACAATTAAACACTGAAATAGGACAATCTTTACCTATAAACCACTCATGTTTGGCATGCATTTGATCTACAATGCGCATGGAACACTCTGCAAATACTTTGGAACCAGGAACTTTTTTCGGATCATCCAATTTCAAGAAAAGAGAAATATGAGTACCCTTTCCCTCGCCAATTCCCTCGGGATAGAGCAGTATCTTCCTGCAACATTGGGAAGAATATGATGACTATTTATTACGTATCTCTCGTTAATTGGGATGGGACCCTATTCACCTCACATCTTTGGGATTGAATTAAAAGAGCAAACTCCTACATGGGAAGCTAAATTTCAACAAGTTTTACAGTGATCGACCACATATAGTGCGAAAGTTATGTAGTTAAAATTGCATATATAGTTTGAAACTCAAAAATCATATCCTTTTGTTATCATGCAGGTAAAACAAGATGAGTGATAAGAGATTATACAGTGGATTAAAAAATTAAAATTCTCTTGTTAAGGGTATTAATATAAAGGGCTAGCAGAGATACCATTTCCATTCTCCAGCAGTGAATGGTTCTGATTTGCAGCACTCAGTACCTAACTTTGAAAAGTTCTCAACCTTCCAAACATGCTTGCACTTAACAGCATCCTTGATCTTCGAGATTGACTCTCCTTTGCCAGCTCTTCTTTCTTTACAAACAAAGACCTCAGCTCCAATCACACAATTATCATCAATGACATATCCGTTGGAAGGATTAGTAAACGATGTAAGAGTGATAAGCTTATCAAATCCCGAATAACGCATCATTGCATGCAAAACTTTTTCCTTTTTATTAGTATCTATGGAATAAGCAAGGTAAAAAATAATGATCAGAAAATGAGCAGGGAGCATTGCAATTTTCAAACAAGAAAATTTTCCGGTCTATAAATATGATCACGTGATGAGAATTAACTTTCGAAGTAGGTAAAATGTACCTTGAAGAACCAGGAACATGCCTTTATTCTGATCAAGCAAAAAGAACCTGAAATCAACATATACTTCGCATCCAGTCTGAAGTGAATCAGCTCCAACCATTTCCAAGTAAACAGAGATGTGGCCTTCCACATTTTTCTTCTTGTTTCCATTCGGGTAGAGCACTAGTTTCCTGGGAGCGAACATACAGTATGGCTAACATTTTTTTTTACCCGGCCGCTTATATAGAACATGATATACGAAATACATTATTGCATTATAAAAACAGAAAATGTCATAGAACAATGTCAGACAGTGAGGGTGAAACATAAGTTTGCAGAAGATGATATTAAACTCAAACTTTAGCAGATGATACAATGAGGGATTTACCATTTGTATCCTCCAGCTTCAAATTCTCCCGACTCATATTCGTCCTCTAAATTTTTGGTTAGCAATGAAAACTTCCTGATTTTTAGAGTGTAATGAGTTGGAGGTGAATCTGAATATGATGTCGAAAACCCTGAAACAAAATAGTATTGATGCAAGCATATATCAGGCATCTATGACATACAACAACAACCTGAAATCTGAAAACCGGTAATATAAAGCAGATCAAGTATCTAACCATTTTGTTGAAAGGGATAACAAGCCATGGTAATAAAATTGAAATTGATTGACAAACTGTTAAAGCTAAAGAGATATCTTTTGCTTCAAGAGGAGCTTACCTACATATATATATATATAGATTTTGCATTAGAGAAGGAAGTACGACCATCCAGTAGAGAGATTTTTCAGTGTATCCAAAACAATGAATGGTACACCACATGTCATTATCCATTTGAAGAGGAAAAAAAAAAAAGTTTCCTCAAATTGTATGTGACATACCATCGGCATAGTGAAAAATCTCTCCATGCAATGAGTTTGCTGCATATTGGACGAGATATGTGTTTTCATCTCTCTATACTGTACGCAATAGCTTCATACAAGAAATTTTTCATTATGACGGGAACACAAGTGGTACACCATGTGTTTTAATAAAAGTGGTGAGAAATTTTATTTTTTAAGTTATTAACTTTTTAGCGCACGTATCTCACCATTTTTATAGTGACACGTCGTATACCATCCCGTGTACCGGTCATACTGAAAAATCTCTCGCCTCATACATTGTGGATAGCTTGGATTTGGTAAAAATTGAAAGTGAAAAGATTGTATAAGGGAAGACACGTACGTACTTTAATCTTCAAACCATACAACGGTCTTTCTTCAAATTCCAACACAAAGCACTCAAACCTTTCTTCCCAAGCACAATGAGGCAATATTCATGCCCATTAAAATGAAATTTTGAAACGTTGAATTAGCAACATAACTTGAACCCGAGGCACTGAACCAGTTATAATCTAGGCACTGCTCTGCGATACAAGGAGAATACGAAAAGGTTCTCGGTTACTGCTGTTGATAATAGATTTAGGCACTTCTTTGCATCTCTGATGAGAAATATTGGAAGCCAACTTCAACTTTTTCTTTTATGCTTTAGCTTTTTCCTTTTGCTTTGCTGTCAACTTTTTCTTTTTGTTTTTCTCCTTTTTTTCTTTCACTAATAATCCTCGCTCTAATGAAAATGTACGAGAACTTCGTACCTAAGTTCAGATATCATTAAAGTTGTCACGCTCCAATCCGAAGCATGATAACAAAAAACAAACTAATAGTTCAACAGTGTAGAAACCTTTCATTTTACTTTGTTGTGCGCCTAACCTGTGAATGGATCGACCCAATCGTAGTTCATCATTTTGAGCAGTAGCAGCACCTCTAGATCAGGTGTCAGCTCCTCTATTGGCATATCGGGTTGTTGTTGGGAGATATTGGCGAGGTACTCGTCCTTCTGCTACAAAACAGAAGCCTACAAAAAAAAAAAAAAAAAACCAATTAAGATTATCGATCCATAATTTTAAAAATTTAAGTAAATAAATTTTCAAATTTCCCGACGAAATGTAAACTCTAAACCCTAAGTCACCAAGAAAAAGGAGAATTGACCAATGAAATATTTAATGAATTGAGATTTGTCCGACAACATGGTTCGTCAGGTAAAGATACCTTCACTAGTGAATTGTTGTTCTGTTAGGCAAAAGTTAGAAAAATAGGCGCCAACTTTTTTCCCTTGGCGCATAAATTTTGTCTGACAAATTTACGTTGCTCATCGAAATGTTTCCGTCGCCTAAAGCCTCTGAAAAAAAAACTAAAATGTTGACCAATTTTGCCTAACCAATGTTTTTGTTCCATTGAGTAAAGGCACTTTGCTCAATGAGATTTGATTCGTCAAACAAATGGTAATTTGTGGTATAGGAGGCATTTTTTTACTGTTTTACTATTTGGCTATAGTGCACTACTAATTCCATGGGCAGTAACATCTGCCTCCACGAAGCATGCATGTATCCTTCATGCCCACCTGATTGAAAAATCCCAATGTAATGAATCTCCACCATCCCGACTCCAAATTTGAGGCACTGAACCAGTAATTTACTACAAGCACCAAAAGTTTTATAAGTTTACGAGTGTCTTGGAATCTAACGCACAAAGACGTTACGAACTATTCATAAAAATTCGAACTAAATGACCCTAGACAACAGATTAAATTGTTGTCTATGTATTATCGTCCTTTTAATGTTACTCAAAACATTCAGTTGCATTCTACTAGAAGCCCAACAAGAGTCAACATTTCGCAAGAACCAACAAAAAATTGGGAATATTTTCAGTAGGTTACAAGCATAAATTATCAAACAACTTTCCACTGAACTCAAGTTCAATAGTAAGCATCACCACGTTGTATCGTATGCCATCAAGATTCAAACGCCACGAAGAACTCGAGCATCGTCGTCGTTCATGGGGTGAATTTCATAAGGGGGCGGCAATAAAACACCCTTAATTTTGAAGTTTATAACATTTTCATATCCTTATTTCCGCATATGATTATGTAGCAATAGGATTAAGCAAATCTTTACCTTTACCAAACTGATGCCTGGCATGCACCTGGTCTTGGAGGCGTAGGCTAAACTCTGCATATATTTTACAGCCAGGAGGAAGAGATTTTGGTTCGGCTAACACCAAATAAAGAGCCAGATGGGCATCAACTCCATTGCCTTTTTAACTTGGGATAGAGCTGTATCTTCCTGCAAAACAACCAAAACATTTACAAAACTTTTAGTTAAACTGTGCTTAAGTTTCCGATGTCTTCAAGAGAAATTTATTATAGAGGGAGCGAAGTCTAACAAGTTTAGGGTTATATACTGTTGGGATTTTACGTTTATTTAAATTTATTGGAGTTAGTTTTCTGTTTAACTTTGGTTTCCTATTTTTATGGAGAAAATCTTTTCTTAAACGGCAAGGTTTTATTTTGATTTGGGAGACCTATTCTTTCTCAACAAATGGTCATACTTGGTGTGATATAAAATAGCACACAAACTTAAACCCTTTTTATGTAGTTGTAGTATGAATAAGTAGGGATCGTTATAGGCCAAGGATTAGAAGGGATGCTAATCTACTCAATTTTAAACTCTAAAACACTAAACTAGACTCAAAAACAGAAAACTAGATTCTAATGACTCAAAACAAACTAGAATGGCTCAAAACAGCATAAAACAAGCAAATTGACTCAAAACAAAAACTAAGGATGATTTTGACTCAAAACACTAATAAAAATAGATTTGAACAAGTTCTAGCTAAGTAAACACGAAATATTTAAAGGGGAGTTGGTTTTGACGAATTTAAAATTTAAACAAACAAGTTACAGAAACAAAGTAAATTGATACGAATTTGGATGAATTGATGGGTGATAGGCTAGCTAGAAGGTCCTTCTCCACACATGACACATATGCATACAAATCGATTTCCAATTATTATTCCAATAAACCATGAATGACAATGCCCCAAATTAATTGTGAATTGCACAAATTAACTCTCAGATTTGCCTAATTTCATTGAATTGAACTCAGCGACGCAACCAAATTATTCTTATCAAGTTCCCTATATGAACAACATAATTGAGATACATATCAAAGAACATTAAGTTCTATGAAAATCATAAGCACTGACATGGCATTCGTAACTATGAAAATCATGATACTCCTGCCAAGAATTTACTTAACACGATCGTAACTAGCGACCTCCACTACTTATAAATATAAGTTCATAACGATTAGGTGAAAATCCCTTATATTTTAGCATCAAATTCATGCATGCAAACTAAGTATGCATCCTCAATCAACATACAAGAATAAGTTATCAATCAAGTAGTTAAGCAAATTGCATTCATGTTTTACGAAACAATAATTGGATGTAATCAATTCATATCACATAAACGTTCATGGCTTTGAATTCTCCTCTAGCTAAAACGAGTTTAGCTCCTCATGTTCGCAATTAAACAAGTATAATTAAATTTAAATATTGAAAACAGAAGATTGAATACACCTAGAAACGCTCCAACAATCCAAAAGTCTTGAATGGCAGGTACGACTCCAAGCTATCTTCTCCTTCCTTGCAAAGTTGCGGCACAAAGGTGTTTGGCTCTAAAATTAGGTTATTGTGTGTGGTAGATGGATGTTTGGATTGTGGTGAGAGATAGACGAGTGGTATCTATCTCCCCTGTGCGGCAGAATACATATATCTTTAAAAGGAGAAAGCCACGGCCCTCATTAAATTTTGGGAAGATTTGCACTCCAAATCCACAAGGAAAAAGGCTAATTAAAATCAGAATCCAATAGGAAAAAGGGAAAGAAAATGCGGCAAGATCTTGGAAGGAAAGGGAAAGGGAGGGCACGGCAAGGCATGGGTATTCTAGAAGGAATAGGTGCGGCACCCTTGTAGAATTAGGATTAGACCTTCTAGAATCATATATTTAGGTGTCCTAATATAATTAGGGATCCCCCTAGTAGCTGGAACTTAAGTAGTGTAGGATTAGGATTGGCTAAGACAAAATAAGGTATTTTGGCTCATGTTCCTTGTTTCTTTGTTGAACTTCCATATCTTCTTTGTCTTGAATTAATTCTTCCATCTCTTTAGCATATTCTTAGCCCTTCTTGAACTTCAATTTCGTCCATCCACCTTGCTCCATGCATGTGCTATCCATTCCAAGCCCAAAAATGCTCTAAAATGCTCCAAATTGCCTTTTCTTGCCACTTTTGCCAATTGAACCTACAAACACACGAAAATAGCTTAAAACACTCTAATAAATATAAACTAAATAAATAAATGCAAGGAAATAGGCTAAAAAAGTCACATAAATATGCTCCTATCATTACTCCCTTGTTTTGTGGCCGGAATTTTTGGCCGTGATCTGCTCAACTACTTCAACGTTAAAGTCTTACAATTGTGTATAAATACTAGGGTTTTCTACTACATAAAAATACACTGAGAAAAATTAAGAAAAACTAGAAGAACTGATCTTCCTTAGTGCAAAGGAATACAAAGGTGTTTTATGGGCTGTTTTATCCTGGGGATGTCATGGTACTTTTGACTGCTTGCACAACTTGGGCAGAGCCGCTAAACTTCTTAAAGAAAGTGACATTGTCCGCAACTCAACCCAGGAGAAGTCTGCAATATTTGTTTTCCAGGTAACCTCGTTCTTTGTTTTGAATTTGTGCAATACCGTCAACATTTTTAAGATGTTTATCATCTGCCATGGACTTTTTCACTGATTTGAACAAACCCACCAATTTTGAAGGACTTCACTTCAAACGTTGAAGGCAAAAGAT